GTTGATCACTGCTAAGGAGATGAGTCTCGTCACGGTGAGAGGGTATATATTATGAAGAGGTAAACTTGCCTTCCAGAATTCAAAACTGAAAACTTACCCAGTGAGCAAACGTCTGGGTTCAGCCCTGATTGGCAGTTAGATATTTGACTTAAAAGTATCACCTGCAGTGTTAAAGGTTTGGTTCATCGCATGACAAAGACGGGCGTTCACAGTCGATCATTGAGGTATACGGTTCATGCTAGATGCACTCAGACGTGCTTGATGATGTGTGTTCCAGAGGCAGCAGGTGGTGATGACAGAGCAGCTGGCAAAAACTCACACTAACATCCACTTCTCCGTCATGCATCCTGGCTGGGTGGATACTCCAGGTACCACTCACTCACATAAAGTAACATCCGAATGCTTACACAATTTACAAAAGCATTAGATGTATTCCATCTGTGTGCGTATTTAAGTTGATTTGCTCTCTGTTACCTGTGCGTGTGTGTGTGTGTGTGTTTCCCAGCAGTGGCCAATGCTATGCCAGACTTTCATCAATCCATGAAGGACAGCCTGCGGACCCCAGAGCAGGGCGCCGACACAGTGGTGTGGCTGTCTGTCTCTGAGGCTGCTGTCAAAAACCCCAGTGGACGTTTCTATCAGGGTATGTTTTACAATGCAAAATTATTTTTTCCCCTTAATATGAACACAAAAATCCAAAATAAATGATCAAGATTTCCATTTACAAATCCAAATTGGTAAGACAGAGAGAATAGCACAGCTGAATTGTGTATTGAACAGTAGTGAGATGAATGTGCTGCATGGATGTGGATTTGGCCTGTGTCCATTGCAGCTGGAGGGGACTGCTTTGGTGCCAGATACCACCAAGGAGCACTCACACACAGATGCACTTTTTCATACGCACACTCACAAAATGTCCCTAGCGGCCTTGAAGAGAAAGGTTGTTGTCTGACAGCACTCTTCAAACTAGACATACATAAATGCAGTCACTTATAATAATAATTTCATCATAATAAAACCAAAAGTGACAGCAACTTGCTGTAACAACTGGAAGAAAGCCATAGATGGCTCTAATTTTTTAAAATTGTAATTAATTTAATTGGATTACTGCAACTCCCTTTTAATAGGGCATGGCCAAAGCACTTTGCCATGCCTGCAACTGGTGCAAAATGCTGCAGCACAGTTTTTAAATGGTAAAAGAAAATTTGAGCATATTACTCCAGTTCTGGCCTCCTTACACTGGCTTCCAATTGAATTTAGGATCTATTTTAAAATTATTTTACAGCTATCTTTTTTAAAATACTGGTCTCGCACCTGTATATTTGTCCAATCTGCTGAAGCCCTATGTCCCTCCTTATTAACTCCGGTCAGCTGAGTAGCTGTTGCTCTGAGTCCCTAAATCATGGCTAAAACTTAGAGGAGCATTCTCTACTGTCAAGTCAAGTCAAGTCATCTTTATTTATATAGCACATTTAAAAGACATCAAGTGTTGGCCAAAGTGCTGAACAGAAGGATAATGTGGCCCTGAATGTGGCCCTGAAGCTTTGAAATGCTTGTCCTCTTCACATTAGGCAATCTACTTCAGTGCTGGTCTTTAAATCCAGGTTAAAAACTAATTTTTATTTGCTGACTATGGCCTCAGTGGGTAACTGACACTGTGTTGTTTTTAAAGTGCTATGTAAATAAGTTATGGTATGGTAACAACTGCCTGCTTGAGCTTTTGCCACCTCATATACTTTGAAATTCAGACATATCTGAATGGTGTACGTGTTGGCGCTGCTTTTGTGGTGACCTACAGCAGGCGTTTATTGTGTTTTCTAACTTTGTGGGGGGAGTTTTGTTGTTTTTTTAAATTTTTTTTTTTTTTTAAACTTTAACCTTGTTTTTAACTTGTGAGTGAACGGATTGTTTCCCTGATTTGTTTCTCATGTGTCTTTTTCCAAGATGGAGATTTTCTACCCTTTGTTCAGTCTCACAAACAATTACTTACACACAGGCACTCTGGATCCTCCTAACTTTATTTTTTATGTGATTCTAACTATTGTAATCTTAAGAAATCACTGAAAAAATTCTTTCAATATGTCACCTGTCCTACGAGGCATAATAAAACGCTGGATTTGTGTTACGGACCAACTAAGGGGATATATAAGTCTGTGGCTGGACCGACAGTAGGTTCTTCAGATCACAACATTGTTTAACTCCTCCCTGCATATAGACCTGTGATTAAGAGGGAGATGGTCTGTGTGAAGCGGTCAAAAGTCTGAACAAAAGACAGTTCTCTTGCCCTTTGCTGGTGTTTTGATTGCACTGACTGGTCCTTGTTTCAATAGAGCTCTTCTGACTTGGATGAACTTACTGATGTGTTGTGTAGCTACATTCCTTTTTGTAAAGACTCTGTGATTCCATCTAGAAAATTTAAGAGAGAGACTTTAACAAATAACAATAACAAACCGTGGCTCTCCAAAGACGTCAAGGATCTGATTCTTAAAAGGAAAATTGCTTTTAATGAGGTTGACGTTTCCCCTGTGAGGATATTGAGGAAGGAGGTGAAGGTTGTAATAAAGAAGCCTAAGATGAGGTACAAAAATAAGATTGAGGCAGAACTCAGTAGTAATAACCTTAAGAGAGCTTGGTATGGTATGGAAACCATGACAGGGCTACAAACGAAGGGTAGCTGTAACATTTGCTTAGATGGGTTTACCTCCAACAAGCATTTGGCAGATAGTTAGTACTTAATCTTCGTTTTGAGAATCTTGATCGTTCTATGCAAACGAGTACACTAAGAGAAAGGACTGCCATTCTCACATCATTTTGTATTGATGAGAGGGGTGTAGCTAATCTCTTTAGACACACAAAGAGTAAGAGTCCTGGACCTGACAACATCTGTGGACAGGTACTGAAAACTTGTGCTGATCAGTTGAGTGTGATTTTTTGTATCACATTTTTTCTCTTTCTTTAGAGTTACAGACAGTATCTAAGATTTGGAAACATGCTGTCATTGTTCCAGCTGCTAAGGGCAGTTCCCCTATGGTACTGAATGATTTTAGACCTGTGACTCTGACTTCTTTAGTGATGAAGACCTTTCAATGTCAGCTGAACATCACCTTGACCCCTTCCAGTTCGCCTATAATGCAGGAAGAGGCATGGGGGATGCTGTTGTCACACTCCTGCATTTCTTGTATAAGCATCTTGAGGACCCTAACACTCATTCAAGATTATTATTTGTTGACTTTTCATTTGCATTCAACACAATTCAGCCCTCCTAACTTGCCGATAGGCTTTATAATCATTTTAAGCTTGACCATAGTCTGATCAGTTGGATACTAGACTTTTTGACTAATAGGTCATGGATTGTGACCTATTTGACTAATAGAGATAAGGCGCAGTTGGTGGAAGCTAGATCTCACTACAGCAGACACTTGCTTATCGAGTTTGAGCGAGCTATCCAGCAGTACACCCAAGTTACTTACATAGTCACAGGAAGGGCTAGCAAAAGGACCCAGGGCAGTGCAAAGTTGGACACGAGGGATTTTACTGTTGAACACCACAATCTCAGTCTTCTTATCGTTTAAAACGAGGGAATTACTCAGGAACCATTCTTTGACCTCGCGCATGCATTCTTGAAAGTAGTGTAGGGACACAGCAAGGTCGTCAGTAAGTTCAAAATAGATCTGTATGTCATCGGTGTAACAGTGGCAGTGGCAATATTGTATTTTTCAAAGATTGCGCCTAGAGGGAACAAATACAATGAGAAAAGAATAGGGCCTAAAACTGATCCTTGAGGTACACCGCAACAGACAGAGGAAGAGGAGAAGGTGCCCAAGTTAACCGAAAAGGACCTGTCAGCGAGGTATGAATTAAACCAGTCAAGGGCAGTGCCTCTAATACCCACAGTGTGCTCAAGTCTTAATAATAGGATGTTATGGTCCACCATATCAAAAGCCGAGGAGAGGTCCAACAAAACTAGGACCATATCATTAAGAACTCTAACAACGCTGTTTCAGTGCTATGCAATGGCATAAAAGCAGATTGAAATTTCTCAGCAATATTGTACTTGTGTCCAAGTACGCCTGGAGCTGGGAGAGAACTAGTCTCTCCAGGATCTTGGACAAGAACGAAAATCAAAAGTTTGGGACTGTAGCCACTACAGTCCCAAACTTTTGAGTTGCCACATGGGGCAGCCTCAAGGATCTGCTCTTTACTGTTGACTATAGAATATCAATGATAGCAGAACAATTAAGATTGTGATATATGTACAGTAAAATATATTTTTGCTGACATGGCTCTATTCTGGGACTTCTCCACTCATGCATGCATGGAGAGACTAAGGTGGGAGGAGCAGCACATAAACCACAGCACAGAACATATGACCAGGAAATTATGCTTAATTTCCTGCTGTGGCTGACAGGGTGAAGGTGGGTTACAAAGTGGCTTGCAGGTTTGCTGCACCTGTGGGCTGGCTAAATCGGTTTTAACGCCTTTCCCAATGTAATAGTTGCCCTTTGGATGTTTAGAAGAGTATCAACTGGCACAGGCAATGAGGTTAGCTCACTGTCAATGATTATGGCTGAGCCTGCCTGAACCAATGTTATGACTGATGGTCAGTAAAAGCTTCTTTTTAGTAGAGCAGATTTCTTTGCAGGAATGTTCCAAACTATTTCACAGTACAAAATAATCTGTTTTCCCACAATTTGTTTTAATGTCAAGTTTTGAGCACACGCATTCTGTAGACATAGATATATACATGAAAACTTGATGGTTTTTAAGTTTTGTTTTTTGTTTTTTTCTGTTGTTATTTCAATTATATTTGCATGTTTGAAATAAAATTATATCTATCTATCTATCTATCTATCTATCTATCTATCTATCTTAATCTTTTTTCTCCTCTGTGCACACAAACACATGCACTGCTACTACTATACCTATTCCCTCTGCTCTCTGATCATTAAAATTCATTTGACTCACAGCTGTCATAAAAGCATGTTGTCACACTATGGCTATGTAGCTGGTCATATAAAAATGACTTAATTCCTTCATTCTGTTAATTGACGCCAAAGTGGACCACGAAGATTTTATATAGTATGTAGTATATAACTTATTTATTTTAATTATTAATATCTGGGTTTGTTCGATTTTGTTTTTTTGCACTACATTAGATAACCTCAAAATAGCATTGTGAAAAATAACAATGTTGCCATTTTTGTTATTTGTATGTTGTAATCTTTATGAAAAAACTAAAAAACACCTCTTAATCTTTTGAGTTTGGTGTATGGCGGGGTGCTGTGGACACCCAAGTTTGTGATTGTGTAGAATTTTTAAATTAATACCATGGTTCATCTACTGAAAATCTCAGTGAACTTGACTTCAAGGTCAGAGGTCACATTTTCTGAAAATCAGAGAAGTTCCACATTTATAATGTATGTTAATGTATGTCTACTAGGAGGCTAAACAGTAGCAATGTATTTATAAAGAATTACAAACAAAAATTATTACACAATTTATTTATTGATAGATTTCCTAATTGAAAATTGAAGTGATCATTATTGGAGCAGTTTAATTAATTTTTGCAGTGTAATTTGCTGTTAATATCCTTTTTCAACCCCAGTTTGTGTTTTTGTCACTTTTGCCCGGGGTCAAAAAAGCAATGCTGGAGATTGCTTCTGTATTCTCTTTTAGTGTCAATACACGGGAACCTGATAGAGAGGCCAGGGTTGAAAAAGGGATGCCGGAGAACCTCCGAGGGTGTTATCCGCTAGTTTGCATCCAAGGCCAACATCTGTTTAATAAGGGTGACAAATAAATGATGGCCATTTTCAGGGCCTCTTCCAACCTTCATTATCTGTTCGAGGTCATCAAGACATTTACATTTTAAATGTCGAGTCTCCAGGGATTGATATCCAGTCTCGTACTGAAATTGTTGGTCGCGCTTAAATGTCCAGCGCTGTTTGTTGTAGCTGTCTTCAATGAAATAGTCATCAGTGTAGATGCCAGAGTCAAGAATATGATCTTTCGGCCTCATGTATCCATGAGGGCATCATTTGATGGATTGACTGCAATGGCATTCATCTATTCTATGGGACACATTTCCATGCCATTCCAATGATTTATCCCAATGTCACATCTCACATTCAGCTTGTCAGCCTCTAATTGAGTCTCTGTGATAAGAAGCGCAGAGTGCAGACAGAGGAGGAGCAATCAATCTCTCCTCTGCGGTCACAAGTGTAAATGTTTAGATGTATAGCCATGTTACTTCCCATGTTAACTTGCACATCCATTAGAAGGAGCCAGCAGGTCTATAGACTCCCTCTGACCTGTTGGGCTTTTATCAGTGGGAGACTCTGCACCTGGACTCACATGTTTGTGTGCGTGGGTGTGATGAGTATTGATCAGTTCACAGGTGAGGAGAAAATTGTGCATTTTCTCTATTACAGAGTGCAAACTTCGATTTGTTTTACAGAATTATGGGTGTATATCCAAGTGTGACTTCCTTTGTGATCGTTTTTATGTCACAGGTCAGAACTGGGAGACACTAGAAGGTCGATGGGATTGTGACATAACCACCACAACCGTCTCCCAACACACACATGCGTACACACACACTCCTCTCTCCCATAAGGAATGCCATTTTTCAGTCTGATCCTGACTTTCCTGTTTGAATTAGAGGTGCAAACATCAGTCTGCTGTGATAAATTGTGGATCAAGGATCAAGGCGACTGTAATATAGTGTAAATTGATGAAGAAACAAAGAGAAGCACAACAAATGAGAGTGGAAAAAAATCCCAATGAAGTCAACATTGTATTTTGGCTGCTACAAAGAAGCTGAATGTAAAGCAGAAACAAAGGGATGGATGGATTTTAGCTTGAGTCAAAGAAGAGCAAGGCATGGGGGCATTAAGAGTGTCTGGAGGCCACACTTATCTCTTTCTGTGAGAGGAATGTGTGGACTCACAGAGAGAAAATTAAGATGTGCATTTAAGGAGAAGCATGAACAAATCAATGAACAGTTTAACACCACTAGTCAAAGGGGTGCAGGATACCTTTAGGGTAAGACCAGACTGGCGTTTGGATATGTGCTGACTTTCCACGACAGGTTATATGAAGGCTGATTTAATTTCATATTCCCCCTGATAAACAATTGAAATCAGTTTTCTTTGACATGAAAATCAAACCATTGGTTAGACAACACAACAGTTTTTGTAAGTGCAACCCATCATGTTAACATCAGTGTGTGTGTGTGTTTGCAACAGACCGGAAGATGGTGTCCACCCACCTGCCTTTGGCCTGGACCCACAGCTC